GGTGGCAAACCAGCTTTGTAAAAAATATTAAAGGGGAATCTTTGAGTGGAAAGGAAAGAATAAAAGTGACAAAGACAAGAAAGGAACAGAGAAAATCTGCAGAAACAATGATAAGACAAGTAATAAAATGGCACTAAACACATATCTATCAATAATTACTTTGAATGTAAATAGACTAAATCTCCAGTCAAAAGACATAGGGTGTCAGAATGGATTAAAAAAAAAAATAACCCCCACCCATCTATATGCTGCCTACAAGAGACTCATTTTAGACACAACTGCAGATTGGAAGTGAGGGGGTGGAGAAAAATTTATCATGCAAAAGAAAGCCAGAGTAGTAATACTTATTTTGGAGAGATGAAACTTTAAAACAAAGACAGTAACAAGAGATAAAGAAGAGCACTATATCATAATAAAGGGGTCAATCCAACAAGAAGATCTAACAATTGTAAATATTTATACAGCCAATATGGGAGCATCCAAATATATAAAACAATAACATGAAGGAGTTCAGTAATAATACAATAATAGTAGTGGACTTTTCACCCCACTTACATCAATGGACAGATCATCTAAGCAGAAAATCAACAAGGAAACGATGGCTTTGAATGACACACTGGACCAGAAGAACTTAACAGATATATTCAGAACATTCCAACCTAAACCAGCAGAATACACATTCTTTTAAAGGGCACATGGGACATTCTCCAAAATAGTCACATCCTAGGTCACAACTCAGGCCTCAACAGGTACAAAAAAATTGAGATCATACCATACATATTTTCTGCCCACAATGCTGTGAAACTTGAAGGCAACCCCATGAAAAAATTTGGAAAGACCACAAATTCATGGAGGTTAAACAATATGCTGCTAAACAATGCATGGGTCAGCCAGGAAATCAAAGAAGAAATAAAAAAAATACACGGAAACAAATAAAAATGAAAACACAGTGGTCTAAACCTTTGGCATGGAGCAAAAGTGGACCTAAGAGGGAAGTATATAGCAATACAGGCTTACTTTAAAAAACAAGAAAAGTCTCAAATAAACAACATAACCTTATACCAAAAGGAGCCTACACCTAAAGGAAAAAAGCACACACACACACAACAACAGCAACAAACAAAACCTAAAGGCAGCAGAAGAAAGGACATAATAAAGATTAGAGCAGAAATAAATGATATAGAAACTAAAAAAACAACTGAAGAAATCAATGAAACCATGAGCTGATTCTTTGAAAAAAATTAATCAAATTTATAAACCACTAGCCAGATTTATCAAAAAGAAAAGTGACCCAAGTAAATAAAATCACAAATGAAAGAGGAGAGATCATAACCAACATCACAGAATTATAAACAATTATAAGAGAATATTATGAAAAACTGTATGCCAACAAATTGGACAACCTGGAAGAAATGGATAAATTCCTAAAAACATATAAACTACCAAAACTGAAACAGGAAGAAATAGAAAATTTGAAAAGATCAATAACCGGCAAAGACATTGAATCAGTAATAAAAGAAAAAATCTCCCAACAAAACTAGTCCAGGGCCAGACGGCTTCACAGGGGAATTCTACCAAACATTTAAAGAAGAGTTAACATCTATTCTTCTCACACTTTTCCAAAAAACTAGAAATGGAAGGAAGACTTCAAATCCATTCTATGAGGCCAATATTACCTTGATTCCAAAACCAGATAAAGACTCCACTAAAAATGAGAACTATAGGCTAATTTCCCTGATGAACATGGATGAAAAAAAAAAAAATCTCAGTAAAATACTAGCAAATCAAATCCAGCAGTACATTAAAAGAATCATCCCCTATGGATCAAGTGAGATTTCTCCCTGGACTGCAAGGGTGGCTCAATATTCGCAAATCAGTCAATATTAATCAAAGGGAATATAAGAACCATATGACCCTCTCAATAAATGCAGAAAAAGCATTTAACAAAGTACAACATCCACACATAATAAAAACCCTCAACAAAGCTGGGCTATAGGAAACATACCTCAACATAATAGAGGCCATATATAAAAAACTGACACTTAAAATCATCCTTAATGGGGAAAAACTGAAAGCTTTTCCTCTATGGTCAGAAACAAGACAGAAATGTTCACTCTCACCATAGTACTGGAAGTCCTAGCCTCAGCAATCAGACAACAAAAAGAAAGAAAGGCATCCAAATCAGCTAGGGAGAAGTCACACTTTCACTACACTATATAGAAAACACAAAAGACTCCAGCAAAAAAATTGCTAGAACTGTTATACAAATTCAGTAAAGCTGCGTGATACAAACTCAACATACAGAGAGGTCTGGTACATTTCTATACTCCAATAGTGAAGCAGCAGAAAGAAAAATCAAGGAACCACTCCTATTTATAATTGCACAAAAAGGAATAAGATACCTAGGAATAAACCTAACCAAAGAGGCAAAAGATCTGTACTCTGAAAACTATAAAACACTGACAAAAGAAATTGAAGATGACACAAAGGAATGGAAAACCATTGCATGTTCATGATTTGGAAGAACAAATATTTTTAAAATGTCTATACTACCCAAAGCAATCTATACATTTTAATGCAATCCCTATCAAAATACCAACTGCATTTTTCACAGTCCTCAAACAAACAATCTTATAATCTGTATGGAACCACAAAAGACGCCAAATAGCCAAAGCAACCTTGAAAAAGAAAAGCAAAGCTGGAGGCATCATGATTCTGGTCTTCAAGGTATATTACAAAGCTGTAGTGATAAAGACAGTATGATACTGGTACAAAAACAGACACATAGATCAGTGGAACAGAATAGAAAACCCAGAAATGAACCCACAACTTTATGGTTAATTAATCTTAGACAAAGCAAGAAAGAATATCCAATAGAAAAAACAATAATTTCTTCAGCAAATGGTGTTGGGAAAACTAGAAAACAACATACAAAAGAATGACACTGGACCACTTTCTTACATAGTACACAAAAATAAATTGAAAATGGACAAAAGACCTAAATGTGAGACAGGAAACCATTAAAATCCTAGAGGAGAACACAGGCAGCAACCTCTTTGACATCAGCTTCAGCAATTTCTACTAGATATGTCCCCTGAGACAAAGGAAGGGAAAGCAAAAATAAACTATTGGGGTTTCATCAAAATAAAAAGTTTCTGCACAGCAAAGGAAACCTCAGAACTAAAAGGCAACCTATGGAATGGGAAGATATTTGTAAATGACATATCTGATAAAGAGTTAGTATCCAAAATCTATAAAGAACTTCTCAGACTCAACACCCAAAACACAAATAATCCAGTTTAAAAAAATGAGCAGAAATCATGAATAGACACTCTTCCAAAGAAGATATACAGATGGCCAACAGACACATGAAAAGATGCTCAGCATCACTTATCATCAGGGAAATACCAATCAAAAATACAATGAGATACCGCCTCCTACCAGTCAGAATGGCTAAAATTAACAACATAAGAAACAACAGGTGTTGGCAAGGATGCAGAGAAAGGGGAACCCTCCTGCACTGTTGGTGGGAGTGCAAACCGGTGCAGCCACTCTGGAAAACAGTGCAGAGGTTGCTCAAAAGGTTAAAAGTAGAGCTTTTCTACAACCCAGCAATTGCCCTACTAGGTATTTACCAAACAATACAAAAATACTAATTCAAAGGGATACATGCAGACAATAGGAGATACAAAAAGGAACAGAAAAAAAAAGAGATCCAGATAAATAACGGCAACGGTGAAGATAGAAACAGAGAGACAGAGGCAGAGATGCAGTGAAAGAGTGAGAGACACAACAGAGACAGAGATGCAGAGACAGACAGAAAAAGATGCAGAGACACCCTTATGTTGATTGCATGTCGTTGCAATGTTGCAATGTATTGGGCACACATTATTGTGCCCAATAATGAATACTATTATTCACAATAGTAAAGGTATGGAAGCAGCCCAAGTGTCAATCAATAGAAGGATGGATAAAGAAGATGTGGCATGTATATACAATGCAATATTACTCTACCACAAGAGTATTAGATCTTACCAACTGCAACAACACGGATGGACCTAGAGGGTATTATGTTAAGTGACAGACAAAGACAGACAAATACCATATGATTTCACTTATATATGGAATCTAAAAAGCAAAACAAACAAAAAAACAGACTCACAAATACAAAGAACAAACTAGTGGTTACCACAGGGGAGATGGATGGGAGGTTAAGCAAAATAAGTGAAGAGGATTAATAGATACAAACTTCCAGTTATAAAAGAAATAAGTCATGGAGAGAAAAAGTCATTATACTCAACAATGTTATAAGACCGTTATATGATGACAAATGGTGACTACCCATATTGTGGTAACCACTGAGTAATGTATGGAATTGCAAGGGGCAGAGGGAGAGAGAATCTCCAGTAGACTCCCCACTGGACACAGGGCACGACACAGGGCTGGATCTCACGACCCTGAGATCAGGACCTGAGCCGAAGTCAAGAGTCCCATGCTTAACTGACTGAGCCACCAAGGCGCCCCTCGATCTAGTCACTTCTGAAATCCACTTGACTCCAGACTTCCTTGTAACATAGACAAAGTAAACTTGAGTTGGGTTCCTATCATGTGAAACCAGGAACAGTACTCTTATTGCTAGTTATACTTTTTCAAAAATAAAAATGGACCTTGACCAATGTGACTTGCCAAGATATATTTGAAACATCACTGTGGTTCTCTGAGGCACCAGGGGCCCCTCTATCTGTGTTCCCATAATTCCACTATCAGCTTATATACACAATACTCACCAAACCTAAAGAGAGGCGGGCACATCCTTAGGCCACTGCACTCAACAATACTAAATACCCATGAAGGATGTGACTATTGAATTGATTTTCTCTCTCCTCTGCCTGCTTGTAACTTGGCACCCCCAGACGCCTCCATTCTGCCTTCAAGGAGCAGTATGGTCCTTTCATTCTGCATTGGTTTCCTGCCTCCATCCAATTAAGAAGAGACTCAGGTACAGAGAACCAATAATCATGTTTAATTATGATAAAATCTCTACATTCAGCTAAAGGGCTTCTGTGTGCTCCTCTTGCACAATCTGAGGAGGAAGAATGGAAACGGAAAAGCCCTTGGGGACGGAGGAGATGCTGCTAGCAAGGAGCTCACAGCAGAGGCTCTGAAACCAGTGCAGGGAGCAGCATCGCAGTCAGATCCGCCACGCAGGGGTCCCAGGAGGGCACCTGGTGACTGTATCAGAGGCACTGTGGGGCTCGGATCCATGTGGGGGATGGGCTCTCAGGCAGCTGGGAATTCTGGGCAAGGACAGGCAGGCATTACAGACGGAGGAATCCCAGGTACCCTCAGGCGTCAGTGCAGGAGCCCTGTAGAAAGGAGAGTGATCAGCACAGGGGACCCTAAGGGACATGCCCTCTCCCCTCCTCTCGGGGCCACTACAGCATCAGAGAAAGCTGAGGTCCAGGGCATATTGTCATCACCTCCCCCAATGTCCCTGTAAAGGTGAAATCAACTCAAGAGAACATGGCACTCCAGCCTCACACAGATGTGTGGGAGGTGATGGAGCAGCCGTGATCCTTCATTTGGGGGATGTTAAGGTTTTAGTAAACGTAATGATAACTCACCCTCTTTCCACCGGTAGTAGCCTTTCATTTATAAACTCACACAGGCAGTAGCCACCAGCATGTAACACAACGTGGGCATCATCCTGGTGTCTAACACCCAAGACATGGCTCTGGTTCCACGTTTCCCAGAAAGATACCACCGAGGTTATGACTTGGCGCTGGAGAACAACCCTGGATCTGCCTACACAAACTGGGCAAACTTCTCCCTAACTCTTGATCTCTGTAGCAGAGACTAGGCCATGAACTGAGACCATTGTGCCCGGGTGCACTCACCTAATCTCTTCCCTCTTTCACCCGTGCCCAAACCCCCACTGAATCAGAGCAGAAATAGTACCTGCTGGCAGAGACCCACGAGGTCCTACAAAAAGAAGTGATACAGGAAAAGGTCTCATTACACAAATAGCCAGTGTCTCACTCACCCCAAAGGGAGGTGAGATAAGCAACTTCATTCAAATTTTACTTTCTCCCTACCCAGCAACCACGAGAGCTTAACTGCCCTAAGCTAAAATCCTCCCAAATGAATGAAAGGAAGGGAAGCAGATGCTCTGACCCTCTTAAAGAAGGAAGCTTTCAGAAAGGAGCCAGTGAGACAATGATGAACTGCAAGGAAGCCCTAGAATATACTCCACCTGTTACCTCTATGATAAGGCTCCTTTCAACCAGTAACATCAGATTCCAAAGCCTCTCCATAGTTATTCCATCTCCTTCCACCACCAGCCCAGCCTCCTTCCTTCCAAGGTCAGAAGGAAAGAGCTAAATCTAGAGGCACAGCTCCCGCTGAGCAGAGGGCCTCAGGCACAGCTCTTCTCCCGCATTTCCCCAGAGGGCCTTACCTTTCTGGCTCCTGTGACGGATGATAAGGCCCAGCCCGAGGAAGATCAGCCCCAGCACAAAGCCTCCGATGCCACTCAGCATCTTGCTCTGGGCAGATTCAGACTGTGCCCCTGGGGAGCAGAGCCTGAGTGTCAGGGTTGTCCCCACACCCCACAGGGACCCTTTGGGAAGCCTGAAGTCCAGCCTGAGGTAAAGGGGCTGGAGGTGCCAGGCAAACCCAGTGCTCCATTCTGACCACCCCTAGGGGAAGGAAGGACCCACGGAGAGATCTTCACACATGGTGGGTGTGTGAGAGAGAGGGGGAAGTTAAACCTGCTCCTCCAGACACATTCCTAACTTCAGACTCCAAGACCCCAGTCACCAGCCAGAGCAATAAATCCTTCAGAGCTACAGGGCTGGGTGGTAGGGCCAGGGTGTGGGGAATGATCTCCCTAGTATCTAGAAAGACAGTGCGATCAAGATTCTTCTAATGCCCCTGCCATGGGACAAGAGGCGCTCTAATCTCCTGCATTTCCAGCTCAGTAGCGACATCAAGGATGAGGACTAGAATGGGACGGGCTGGAGGAAGCTCTGTCTTGTGGGGCCCATAGTGAAAAGAAAAACTGCCCCTTACTCCACTCCACTGTGATGGGGCTCTGGAGGCTGGGGTGCTCCACATGGCAGGTGTAGACATCTCCTCGCTGGGGAGTAATTTCCAGCATCACCAGGATCTGGAAGGTCCAGTCCCCATTCCTAATAAGTGGAGTGGACACGACACCAGTTCTCTCCTCCTGGTCATTCCGAAACCACCGAACTTTGATCTGGCCTGGGTAGAAATCTGTCACTGAGCAGACCAGCAGGTTGTGGTGGTTCAGAACCTCTGTCCTGGACGGGGAGATGGTCACTGTAGGTTCCACTGAGGGGAGTAACAGACAAGAAAAGACACTGAGATGTGGGACTACACAGCAAGTCTCCCCGTGGAGAAGAGTCCTCTCTTCGTACCAGGGTGGAAAGATCCCTGGATTCCGAGTCTTGGATTAGGATCTGAGCTTAGCCACTTTATTAGCTTGGATAAACACAGGAGTCAGCTTACTTTTCAGAGTCTGAAGAAATCATAGTAATCTAATTCTATGAAAGTTATTCTGTTGATATTAATTGACAAAATAAAGCATTTTTAAAATTTAGATTGCTGTATTACACAGGGCATTATTCTCAAAAATTTTAAAAATAAAAATAATAAATCTGGACTTCTTTCCCTCCATCCCTATTTTTTTAAAAGATTTTATTTATTTATTTGACAGAGAGAGACACAGCAAGAGAGGGAACACAAGCAGGGGGAGTGGGAGAGGGAGAGGGAGAAGCAGGCTTCCCGCGGAGCAGGGAGCCCAGGGAGCCTGACGCGGGGTTCCATTCGGAGCTCCATTCCGGGTTCCACTGGGGCTCTACCCGGGGCACCATCCCAGGACGCTAGGATCATGACTTGAGCAGAAGGCAGACGCTTAACAACTGAGCCACCCCGGCGCGCCCCATATCCCTATTGATACATAAAGTAGTTGCTAATCCCTAACGCCCAAGGCAGTTAAGTGGAAATTAAATGGCCTAATGTAGATAGTGTTTGGTAAAGTATTTGTCTAGAAATAGGTGCTTATTAAATGGCTACAATTAACTTGCCGAACGTCTACCCCTGAAGTGGTTGGTGACGCAGGGAGGAGGGGATGCAGACAGAAGCAGGAGGATAGGCAAGGTTTAGGCCGAAGGAGACCCGAAACAATTTTTATTTAATAATTTAATAGCATCAACTTATTGACTCCAAAACCTCAGCTCTTCCTATTCTGACATTTGTGGAGATTTTCTAAGAAATTCAAATTCTGCCTTACAATACCATCCAAATATAATTTATATTTTTAGTAAACACTTTTATCTTAGACTTTGCATTCACAAATCCTAAGGTATTAAGATCCAACGCACAAAGTTTACTTTAAAGGATTAAGCAAAATAGTAAAGACTAATTAATAGAGTCCATTTTTAAGGCTTATTTACCCTTCTATTTTCCCTTGAGCCTAAGTGGATGGGCAGCCGAATACATTCATTCATTCCACAAAGGTTTGCACTCACATTACCTAACAGTCACTGCCTCAGGTACTACTAGGCAGACAAGGATAAGGCAGTTCCTCGCCTCAAAGAAGTCCGGGACTAGTCACAGCCATTTAAGATAACAATTAAGATGAATCATAATTTGAAACCAAAAAGTCAAAATTTGGCCGGTGACGACTGTAACATATTCACCACGTGTGCAAGGTACCCTCCCCCCACCAGGCCCAGCCCACTAAGCTTCGCAGGGGCCGGGGCAGCTCACTGCGGGGACCGGGGCGGGGATGGGGGGCTCCCTGGGCTCCGCTTAGCGAAAGGTGCGGAGGGAGAAACCAAACACTCAAGTAGGGCGCCGGGGCCGCGCAGAGGTGGCGAAAACGTCAGAGGAAGCGCAGCCCCGCTGGTGGACCCACCCACCTCAGCAGGAACAGTGCGCGGCTGCCGGGTCAGTCCCCCAGCTCGGCCCCGCGTCCCCGCCCCTCCCCGCGCGGGGACTCTGCTGGGCCCGGGGGATGGGCCCCCGGGGGGCGAATGGCCGGCGCTCACCTCGCCGCTGCAAGGTCGTTCTCTCCTCATTCCCATAGTTGTGTCTGCACACCGTGTCCACCGCAGCCCGCGTCTGCTCCATGAAGTCCTTCTGGCGGTTCCAGTACTCAGCGTCCGGCCGCCCCCACTCCGTCACCGGTCGGTGCTCTCCCACGTCGCTGTCGAAGCGCACGTACTCCTCCCGGTTATAGATGTGTCTGGTCAGGAGCCGCACCCGCTCCGTCCCGTTGGTGAAGTAGCACTCGCCCTTAAACTGGTACACGAAATCCTCTGCAGGGAATCACCGCAGGTCAGTCAGGCCCTTGCCCCTCAGCCCAACCAACAGCCACCGCCCCGCGGGCCTTGTGGGGCGAGGTCAGGCAGCCTGATAAACCTGAAGGCCGCCCACCTTGGACGCCTCTCAACCAGGCCCGGAGCATTCTCTTTTCCAGGCCTGCCTGCCCTCCTCTGAGGGCTTCCAGAACTGCCTTCCTCCAGGGAGGGGAGGGAGGAACAAGCCTTAGGACCTGTGAGCCCTGCCTGAGCCTGAGAAGTGAGGAAAATAGGGCAGTCGGGTTGATTTTACATTCATCCCTGTACTCCGATCAGGACGTTCTCACATGAAATCCCATTTTCCATAGAACTCCAGGGAACCTCAGAGACAAACAAGTGTCCACCTAAGCACAAGAGTTCAAGGGAATAAGGAGAAAGGTCAAAAGTTAAGCTTGACAGGAAAGAGCCAAGATGTCCATCGACAGATGAATGGATAAAGAAGATGTGGTATATATACACAATGGAATATTATGCAGGCATCAAAAGGAATGAGATCTTGCCATTTGCAACGATGTGGATGGAACTGGAGGGTGTTATGCTGAGTGAAATAAGTCAATCAGAGAAAGACATGTATCATATGACCTCGCTGATATGAGGAATTCTTAATCTCAGGAAACAAACTGAGGGTTGCTGGAGTGGTGGGGGGTGGGAGGGATGGGGTGGCTGGGTGATGGACATTGGGGAGGGTATGTGCTATGGTGAGCGCTGTGAATTGTGCAAGACTGTTGAATCACAGATCTGTACCTCTGAAACAAATAATACAATATATGTTAAAAAAGAAGAAGAAGAAGAAGAAGAAGAAGAAGAAGAAGACAGCAGGAGGGGAAGAATGAAGGGGGAAATCGGAGGGGGAGAGACGATGGACTCTGAAAAACAAACTGAGGGTTCTAGAGGGGAGGGGGGCGGGGGGATGGGTTAGCCTGGTGATGGGTATTAAAGAGGGCACATTCTGCATGGAGCACTGGGTGTTATACACAAACAATGAAACATGGAACACTACATCAAAAACTAATGATGTAATATATGGTGATTAACATAACAATAAAAATTTTTTTTAAAAATTAAGCTTGACCTCCTCCTGACAACATATTCTCTTGGTCCCCTGCAAAGGGCCTTCCTTCCCATGGGTGGGTTTACACTGGGTTTCTGTCACACCCACCCAATTGCAGTGTGAAGTTTGTTCATTCCTGCTGGGCTAAAAGGGACACACACCTTCCAAGTCCTAGAAAGAAACATTTTATTCATGGAAAGAACACAGTCTTGTGAATAAGATAAAATAGATTTCAATTTAACCCTGCCACTTACCAGCTTTGGTAGGTTACTAAACGAAGTATCCATATCATACTTATAATTTGTAAAGCAGAAGTCATAATCCCCACACATAGGGGTGTTAGGAAGATCAGAGAGAATTTATGTTAAGTTACTAACCCTGTGGCTGAAATGGCTTCTCAGTATGCGCTATTTCTCTTCTTTACCTTCTCCTTTCTCCTAAATTCAGTCCATCATCAGCTCAACTCTCTGAATCCCACACAAGTTACTATCTGACCATAAACCAGTGAAACTTGAAGTTAAGACTCCCTGTCTGTGGTCACCCAGTTTCACGCAAATACCAAGAGTTTGCCTCAATGCGCACTCCACTCAGAATCTGGGCGCCTGGGTGGCTCCATTGGTTAAGCGACTGCCTTCGGCTCAGGTCATGATCCTGGAGTCCCGGGATCGAGTCCCGCATCAGGCTCCCTGCTCGGCGGGGAGTCTGCTTCTCCCTCTGACCCTCCCTCCTCTCATGTGCTCTCTCTCTCTCTCATTCTCTCTCTCAAATAAATAAATAAATAAAATCTTTAAAAAAAAAAAAAGAATCAGGAATGTAGAGTCCTTTTTATCAAATACTAAGACTACAGAGACCTTCACTGCCCTACATTTCTCCAACAGAGAATCCCATAGTGTGTAGCCAGGACAAGGTCTTGGGGGACCCTGAAATGAAAAATCCTGCTGTGTCTCCTTTGAACAAATTCTTATTTTCAAAAGGAACCCAAATGTCACGCTGTCCTATCAGTGATAGCAAATGCACACTTTGTTTCTTCCTCCCCATTATGACATCCCCAGGATGGATTGAGTCCATAGTATGGGGATTGTCCTCATCTCATCCTTAGAGATGGAAATGAGAATGTAACAGAGCTCTCTTCCACAAAGAGAGAAAATCTGTAATAAAAGACTGGATTCTGGGGGCACCTGGGTGGCTCAGTCGGGTAAGCGACTGCCTTCGGCTCAGGTCATGATCCCGGGGTCCTGGGATGAGCCCCACATCAGGCTCCCTGCTCAGCAAGGAGGCTGCTTCTCCCTCTCCCTCTCCCTGCTGCTCCCACTCCCCCTGCTTGTGCTCTCTCCCTAAATAAATAAATAATAATAAATCTTAAAAAAAAAAAAGATTGTATTCTGAGATCATAGAACCTTCCACACCCCAGCCCAAAGGTCCTTCCGAGCCTGTTCCCTAGGGTGGTGGCTCTGGGGAAGAGGTGCTCTGCACTTACGTGGAGAGTCTCTGCCCTCAGCCACTGGGATGCTCAGCACCACCAGGATCATCATTTCAGCTGCTGTCCAGAGGCCTCTGGGGATCCGCAGAGCCATCTTCCCAGGCATCATTGGGAACAAGGAGAAAGAAATGGTAGTCAACACAGCTCCTACCTGGTGGCTCTGAGTACTCACTTCAGAGAATAAAAACCTGTGAAAGCTTCCATCCACAGAAGGATTGGAGAGTCCCTGTGAAGGGAACCAATCAGCACTGGAGCTGAAGTACCTCATCTGTCTCTGGGCAGACATTTTTTACGAAGGTTCTCAATTTTTATGAAGGTTTTCAGTCCTAGGTTCAGAGTCCCTAGAAAGTGAACCAATCAGCACTGGAGCTGAAATACCTCACCTGTCTCTGGGCAGACATTTTTTATGAAGGTTCTTAGTCCAATTTTTTATGAAGATTCTCAGCCTGGCAGTATGTTTTCATCAAATTACAGTAGATGAACATTTGAGGTGAAGATTTTCTCCCAGTTATAGAAATTCTAGAGACTGTATGCCTCAAGGATTTAAAGAACTGAATGAAAAATGACTCAAGAGTAGACATCTTTGTGACATTTGGCATTTTTAGTTTGTATACCTGGGAGTTTTAGTAGGAAATAAGTGGGATCATATTTCGGAGAAAAGAGAATTACTGTCTCCGAGATGTTCACTTCTATTATCTTAGACACTCTGAGGAGCCTTAAGTTGTGGTGGAAAAGCATAATTCTTAGGAGGAAATGGTTTTTAGCTGCAGTTCTACCACTAATAGACTTTATGAGAGTCAGCAAATTACTGAACCTCTTTTGCCCCAGGCTTGTTCTTGTAAAATGTGGACCACGTTTCATGCATTTTATATCCAGATCATCATATATATAAACTTAAGACAAATATGACTTGTTTAATATTGTAAAATATTCCTCAGCTGCCATGTGTAAGTGTTGGGAATACTGGGTTAATATGTGGTGCAAGAAAAAAAAAAAGAAAAACAGTGACACCCAGCCCTGTGGGCATCTGATGCTTCATTATGCAAGAATTTTTTTTTTTAATGATTGTTTTCTTTTTTTTTTCTTTTAAGGTTTTATTTATTTATTTGACAGAGAGAGACACAGCGAGAGAGGGAACACAAGCAGGGGGAGTGGGAGAGGGAGAAGCAGGCTTCCCGCAGTGCAGGGAGCCTGATGCAGGGCTCAATCCCAGGACCCTGGGATCATGATCTGGGCCGAAGGCAGACACTTAACCAACTGAGCCACCCAGGCGCCCCTACGCAAAAATCTTTTACATTTGTGCTCTTTGACTGAAAGTATTTGAAAAGTTAAGTTCACTTTTAAGCAGGGTCATCCTATGTCAGCAAAGGCTCAATCCACAAACATTCACAGCATTCAGACACTATCACCTCTAGTTACAAGGGTAGAAGCAAAAGACGTGGAGAAGCATTTCCTTGGGCCTGAATGGTGTTAATGAGGGAGCAAATGTTAAGAGTTAGAGATTGTGTACAGATGTGGCACTTACTGTGCAAGTAGTCCTAAGTTATCAAACTGAATGGTAGCAGTATCAATGTGTTTTTTTAACAGATCTATTATTTATCAGACTCCTCTTGCCATGACTAGAGTCAGTTCTAAATGGTTATAGAGCAATTAGAACAGTGTGTGGCAAACATTAATAAACAAAACATTAAGCATCTCCCTGTCTTTTCTCCCTCCTTCTATCTCTTCCCTGTATTTTAGGTTCTCCTTTTATAATAGAGGCCGGGATCTGAAAGCAGAATATGAGGAGTTTACCAGGTAAGAGGAAATAGAGCAGAGGTACAAGAAGTTTCCATTAGTGGCACATGAAAGCAGTGAGTCATTCCAGTATTCTATATTAGATGCATGGTTCCAGGGCACCTGAGACGTAGTCCCTGGGCTTCCACTAGCAGTGGTGTACTAAGGATCAGGGTAGCTCTGGAATAAGAAGAGTTTCCATGGTGGGATGGAAGGAGAAAGGAAGGACATTGAACTCAGAGCTGGAATAAGGTTGGGGGGCAAGGAAGCATGGTCAAAAGGGGATCTGGAAGGTACATTAGTCCCCTCAAGCCCCACCTCAGTGTCCCTCAGAACAGAGAACTCTGGCCCATCCCTTCCCTCTTGTCCTAAGGGGAAATTCTCCCCACTCTATTGTGGGACTGTGTGGTAGAGGCTGCAACAGACCTGGGCATTGCCCAGTCTCTCAGGCCTCTTCACACAGACTTTTCAATGAGCAACAAAAGTGTCAGCTTAGAACCCTTTTTCTGATTGGCTAAAATCTCAACTGCAAGGCTCTGGCTCAGGCTTCTGTCTGCAGCTTCCCCCTGAGCCAGTCAGCATTCTCTACGTTTTCTAGAGCTCTCTGTGCTGCTCACAGTCCACCACATTACTCAGGGCAGCCACTGCTGGTCTGGCCTGAGGGGAAGGCAACTCGGACACCTGATTCCAGGTGCTTACCTCAGTCACCCTGCTGGGCCTCTGTGGAGGCAGGGCACTTAGGATGAAGGTAGTGTGTGCCTCGTGTTGTTAGTCGATGCGATCAAGAAATAGTCATGAAATGGGTCAGGGTTACAGTAGGGAGACTCTCCCCAGGGGACATCCTCTGTTCGCCTAGGATGAAAGATAAAAGTTTTGGACTCTTTGTGGAAATTCAGGGAGAAGTCATCATCCCTGGTCAGTATCCCTTGGAAAATGTGCTTGGTCAATGGAGTTCATTGTGAACATAATAATAATCATCATCTGTGACCAGAAGGGCCATTCGGGACCCTATTCTGCATTAATTCAGGAATTTTAAAATGCTATATATTCTGAAAGATTCTGCGACTTCCTTAATGCCAGTAGTAATATAATAGATGATAGAAATACCGCCCCAGAATTTTATTTCCCTTTAATAAAAATTTAGCAAGCAATTGTCCCTAAATTTGTCTAAATCTTTATAAAGCTGCTTACATATGTCCCCTATATCAACCCAGTTATATGAATTTTCAATGACACATATAAAGCAGGCCCTTGCTCTTGGCACAGTTATCTCTTTAAAGTCACATTTCAGAAATCCGAAGAAGGAGTGAACTTAGTAGCAGATTGGCCATGGATAAACCATTTCAGTTCTGAAAGTCTTAGTTTGCCTCATCTGTTGAAGGAGTACACACCTCACTGGACCACTGTCATGAACACAGATATAATTTGTAAAAGTCCTCTGTAATCTATGCTGAGCTACACACACATTAGTTTTTAATATATTAGTAGTGAGCTCATTTTTTAAACATCATTAACAAAGACAGAAAATTCTTCTTGTTGTTTCTCATCTCTCTTCAGATGACAGAATCATGATAGTTTTAAATCCCTGCCTCTTACCTCATCAGATAAAGGGAGCAGAAAGTATAGTAGACATATTTAACCTTGAACCCACTACATGTTCCTTCTCTGAAGGGCCATGAATACCACTGCACAGAACTACCATTTCAGCTATAATTTCAGGTCTCAGAATCTGGTCTTCCTCTGAGTGTGCTGCCAAGTGTGGAAACTTGAGTGCAAATACAAACTGAGGAAAGAAGAAGAGAGTGAATACAGCCTTGTGGGCTACGTGGAGAATTATGGCACTCATCTAGGTTTGACTGAGAGGAAGAGAGACCAGACGCTTCTCATTGTGACTACTGACAAATGTCTAAAAGCCCCATCCTGTGCCACATGCCCGAGTGCCCTATATTCCTCACCTTCATGATCAGGAGTCCCCCTGCGTCTAAGCTCTGACACATACATCTATGTAGTTTCATTTCCGATAGTTCTGTCTCTCTTCACCACAAAATCCAACAGATGTCAGATAGTGGGTACTGTCACTTAATATTTTTTACACACCTGGGCGCTTGGGTGGCTCAGTCGTTAAGCGTCTGCCTTCGGCTCAGGTCAGGATCCCAGGGTCCTGGGATCGAGTCCCACATCGGGCTCCCTGCTCGGCGGGAAGCCTGCTTCTCCCTCTCCCACTCCCCCTGCTTGTGTTCCCTCTCTCGCTGTGTCTCTCTCTGTCAAATAAATAAATAAAATCTTTTAAAAAAATATTTTTTACACACCTACACAGTTAAAATCCTGGGTTTCAAAGGTGAACATGCATGGATGCTATCTTCTAAGACGTCACACACTGGAGGGGAGACATGTGGGGAAAAATAAAAGAGAAGTTTGTAACAACCACTAAAGGGCAATGTGAAATACTGCTAACTAAAGGCAAGACCCAACAGTGTTGAAAGTTCAGCGGACACTTAAAACTATAAAACAATAATGGTACCCATTAGTTCAGTTATTTTCTTTTCTCTTGGAAAGGGTTGGCAACATAGGACTAGAAGATGATGATTAGTGGTAGATTTATTCATGAATAATAATTTTTCAAGATGAGAATGGAGAGTTGATGGTGTGGCAGTAATGAGAGAGTTGAAAGTCAAGCTTTTCAGGTGTGCCTTTTAGAGGAGGTGATGGCTCAGCAGATAAAGGGCTCCGTTCATTTCAGGCAAAAAGGCTTATGTGAGTGCAGGGGTAGATGGGACACTCACAGCGTGTAGTTTGATGTGAGTAGAGAGTGGGATTCGGTTATCCTAACCCTTGTGAGGTTTGATGACAGCACCATTCAAAGTTGTCTGGGATTTCCTCACAGGAAAATAGAAGATAAGGAAAAATAGAGGGAATTTAAGCAGAGAAGCACCATGACATGCTGGTCCATTCATAAAGCTACCTTGGAAGCAGCATGGAGGGGACTCTTCAGAGGATCTGTACATGACCTTTTACAGATCTGGAAAGGATCCAGGTTAATTTGATGAGCCCAATCCACCAAAATCTAGTTTACTAAGGAACAAATTTGCCAATGGTCAGTTTACCAAATTTGCCAAAATTATTAATGTGCTCCAAACTCATTTCTTTTTTTTCCTATTTCTAAAGTTTGTAGATATTCATAATGATGTGTTGGAAGTGTATTAGGAGACTGTCAGTCCCAGACCTCCGAGTTTCTGGGGCCCTCTCGCTTTCCCATGATCCCCATTGTCTTGCTGTCTGGGCTCCACTCCATCTTTCTGCTGACAAAACAACCCCCCATTTTCATGAAGATTTATAATAAATGCATTTACAAAAACAAAATGAAAACTGGTCAATTACACTTCACAATTTCAGAAGTTGTTTAAAATGTTTTAATATAAA